TTTTTTTTTTTTTTTTTTTTACTTACACAGTCTGCACGTCTGTGGCAAGCCCAGCCAGTCCAATGTACAGTCTGTCTCCCATAGGGAAAATCTTCTGGAAATCTGTGGTCACCATCTGAGCCTGAATTCCAAACCGTCTGTCTGCCGCAACGGCCACGCAGTTCTTACCCTTCATGGCCATGACGGCCCCGCCATTATATGACATAATCGACTGTTAAAAGAAAAAACCGATGGGGCAATTTTACGGCCTTGCTGGAATCCTATACAGCGTGCTGAATTAAATCAGTTATAAGGACTCTCTCATAGTATCAACTAGACCCCTGCATCTTGGCTGAGGCACCCACATCTGGGTAACAAAGCTGGAAGGGCCCCCGCCCCCCATCAGTTATATTGCCCTCCATTTGCTTAGCACAAGCTGAATACAACAAAGCTAACTCTTTCAACTACCTTGTCTAGTTCACCTTACAAACACCTGCAGGCTTCCCCAGGGCAAACCAGGCTATTATGTGGTTTCCCCTTGGTATTAAGGCAAAAAAGTCCTGAATAGCTCATTTTCTTTAGCAAATGCTACTTATGCTGCCTCTAAATAATTAATCCCCTCTCTTAAGTCATTTTCCCTCCAATGAATAAAGGCATCTTATTACAGAATTAGGTTCCCCAATTCTTAATCCTTACTTTCCACTATAATAAAGCCCACTCCAGCATTGTGACCTGATCATCTCAGGCACAGATCATGTGTTTTCTGTGTGTGTACATAAGATCTTCTAGGCTGCGTCCAGATGAGCACAGACGTTTGTTTCCCCAGGGAAGCAGCAGCAGCACACCCAGGTTACCTCAGGTGGGGAAGGAGAGGCTGAGGCCAGCAACTGTGCTGGTCCCAGCAGCATTACTGGGGTCCTGGGGCTGCAGCAGGAAACCTGGCCGGCAGCTGGAATGTGGCTCCAGACAACCAGGCTCTGGTTTTGGGAGGCTGCCACATGCACTGCCCTGGGTTTTTTTTGACATGGGCTTTTTTAACCCTGGGATCTCCCGGGATCAAAAAAACCAACCCTCAAGCTGCAAGGTCTGCGATGCCACATACAGCACATCCATGCTTGTCTGGAAGTGGCTCTTGAGTCTGGATCCTTTGATACAAAGAAGTTTCTTTTCCAAGACCTCACCCCTCCCCTCGATTCAAGATATCAAATAATGCCCAGAACAAAGTTTTTGGAAGTTTTTAGTCTAAAAGAAATGTTCTTCTTGAAATGCTTCTGACCATGGTCATCCTGCCATTGCTTGTCCAACACCAGCAATCCTCCACCAGGGCACCATCATCCTGTGGCCACTCGATATCCATGCTGGTAGGTGTGCCAACAGGAAAACACAACCCAGAAGATAAACCCAGAAATTTAAAATGGGAAACCACCTGGACAAAAGCAGGCTGACCCACTGCAGGTTTTCTGAGCTCTTTGCAACAACAGAATCGTGGGCTTGTTTTCCCAATGTCAAAAACAGAGCGAAAGCCAAGAGCTGGCACTTCCCAAGGGGGGGGGTGTGGCAGGGGGGGCGGTGTTGGGGACCCAAGCCTAAGGATGGCGAGAACCACTGCTGAACGCACCGCCCTGGCGCCCCCAGCGCTGCTCCCTTCCCTAGCCCCGAGTGCGGCCTGGCAGGGGCAACCTGTGTGCAGCACGTGCCAGGCTGGGGAGGGCACAGGCAGCGCCGGGGCAGCTCTGGCGGGAGACCAGCGCGTTAGACACGGAGCAGCGGGCAGGGGCTACTTCGGGGCGCCTGCCGCACTCCCCAGCTGCCCCCCCCGCCCCGCGGGACCGCCACCCGCTGCTTTAAGACCCCCCCGTTACGTCATTGCCCGGGGGGGGTCCCAGTCCCCAGTGTCCAGGTAGGCACCAGGGTCGCCCATCGGAGGGACCGGGACCGCCCCGCCCGGGCTGGGCCTCACCATGGTGACGGCTGAGGATTCCGCCGCACACCCCGAAACTCCCCAACCGGCTCCTTCCGGGCTGCCGCGCCGCGCACCGAACCCTGCTGCCGCCCATCGCCCTCCCCCCTCCCCCCTCCCATTGGCAGGCCGGCCAAGCCCGAAGGAGGCATTAGCCGCGGCTATTGGCGCATCCCGTTGTCAGTCACGGGAGCCGGGCGGGGTGTGGGGATCAAGGTGCGTTGAGCAGAAAAGGAGGCAGCGAGAAAAATGAAGAGTCATAGCGAGCGGTGCCAGCCGTCGCGCGGCATGACGGGATTGCGGCGGACAAGGGCTGCTGGGCGCGCAGTGCCTTGGGCCGACCTCACGGGCGCCTGGGCGGCCACTCGCGTGATTGCGCGTCCAGTTCGCACCTGCATTCAGGCACCGGTGTTTCTGCTGCTCCGGTTTGGGCTCCCGCAGTGCCCCCAAGGGCTGAGGCTTGGGCTCAAAGCAGAGGTCGGATTTCTCTAAACAAAGCCCCTGCTTTTGTGCAAGTCAAATCAGCGCCCCCGCTGTGAGCATGGGCGGATCTAGGAGGTTGCAAAGGGGCGCAGGTCACATCGCCACACAGAGCACACCTTGGTGACCAGTTAAAGAGAAACTAGAGAAGCTTTACTGGTACGGTAGGGGGCACCGCAAGACATTATTCCATTTAAGAGCAAAGCAAACAACAAATGCAACAAGTGCAGTGTGTTCTCACTGGCTGGGGCCTGTATTAAAAACAAAAAAACAACTAGGCAAAAAAATAGGCAAAGGACATTGCATATGTAGTCCCTTAGTCATTATAGGTGAATCTCTTAGATTCATAAAACAAAATCTAGCCTTCTGGAACCGCTCAGCAGTGCCTCCAATACCTCACTGGCAGTCACTTCTACACAGCAAACAGGCAGTGACATGGCAGGAGAAAGGATTGTTCGAATACTGGAACATCAAAACTTTAAAAAGGAGAGTGGGTCCTTAACACCTGCCGAGTGGAGAGAGGTTAACAGGAATCAGGGAGGTGACAATGAGCCATGAAGTCAAGTGACACCCCCAGCACTGCCTGAATAGAAATGCTACTGCCACTGCCAGGCAGGTGGTTTTAAAGTTTGACTGGCGCAGGGTTGGAAGGGGGTGCAACTGTATGCCCCCCCCCAATCTGTTATTTTCAGGTAGCTGCCCGCAGTCTCCTCAAATGTTTGGGTTCAGGCACTGGCCTTCATGTTAGAAGCAATCTTAGTGGAAGCTGTATTGAACACAGCCCATTATCATAAGTCCCTGCCTAGTTAGGGGCTAGCAGCCCCCAGTTAGGCATCACTACCTGCATTGCCCCAGGTACTGGTCACTGCAGCCTCAGCAGAAATGTAAAAATAGACATTGAGTTTATCCTGGGGCTGATTGTCATGGCTGTGATTGTTTTCATCCGGGCACGCAATTATTTTGGGCAGAGGGCTGCTTACTGAGTTTTGGCAAGCCATTGAGGGTTGCATGACAGGCAGCTCAGGGGCAGATAAATATTAATTTTCTTAATTTTGGGGCAGGGCCCACGGGCCAGATAGAATGGTCTGGCAGGCTGCATCCGGCCCCCGGGCCGGATTTTGCCCACCCCTGGTTTACATGGTCGTTAGCTCAGATTACCCACCATTGTTCCTGGGCAAAGTATTAATTCAGATCATTCACTGGTACTTTATGTGGGACAATGAGCTTGTCCCTCTGTAAGAACTGTAGTTTGTCATGGGATAAAATGATAAAATTTGAATCAAGCAGGGGTGTCTGGTTTTAGCCAAGCAGCTTGAATGGCAGTTAACTCGAATTAGCTGCTGTTGTCCCAGGGCAAAATGTTAATTCAGATACATCCCAGTTATTTAGCATGCGACCATGGGCTTGTGGATCTGTTGCATCCCAGGATACAAGGCATTTATCCCAGGAGAAGTCTAGTGTCTAATTTTGTTCTGTTTTTGATGGGGGGAAGGAGGGGGAAGGGTAAAAACAGACGAAAGCTTTTTATCCTGGGATCCTACAGCCCCTACAAGCCCACTGTCCCACACTAAGTCTTTGTGAAGTGCTGAGATAACGCCCCCCCTTCCCCCCACCATAATTAGGGTTACTTCAAGTTACTAGCCTTCCAAGATGCTTGTGGAAAGATTGTCCCTCGCCTGATTTGATGTGAGGATCAAGGAGAAGTTTCTTTTCCAATGGGGAAGGTGGGCCAAAGGAAGCCTTTGCTGCCAGAGATGCAATAGTAACATGGCCTCCATTGATTTGACTGTGCAGTCACAAAGCTCTTGGCCTACTTAGTGGCTCAAATAATCATTTAATGTGAGTGGAGCCAAAGGGGATAAAATTATTTTATCTCTGGATAAAAATAAATGTGCTCAGTGGTACCCTAGTGACTCCAAAGCCTGTTTTTATTCCTTTGAAATGTGCTCCTGCTGACCCTGCTTGGTCAATGTTTCCATGAAACTTTGGGCCTTGGGAGGCATTCAGCTCTTAATGGCGCAGGGTTGCTCAACAAGTACAGGAGAGAGGGACAAATATGATTAGGGGTCTTCCAAATTAATCTCTCCTCTCCACCTCCAATGCAGTGCTGAAAGCAGCCAAAATTACTCTTTTTTGGTGAAGTGCTAAAGTCCCCTTCAGGTATCCAGGATGTCACCATATCGGTCTAGAGGCAAAAGGAATTCTGAGTTCTGAAGTCACGCACGCACGCACGCGCATACAGGCACACACACATGCCTGCGTCTTATTTCCTAAGGGGTCTCACTCAAATTCAGGAGGTTGGGCAAGGCAATACAAATATTTAGAGGTCTAGAAAATATGACATGAATGGAAAGGCTGGAAAAAAATGGTGCTATTTAGTCTAGAGAAGAAAAGACTGAGAGAGCATTGGATAACCATCTTCAAATCCAAAATAGGTTCTGACAAAGAGTCTGGAGATAAGCTCTTCGCTGTGGCCATAGAGAACTGGACAAAATGTTTCTCGTCTTCAACTTCAATAAGAGAAATTTAGGCTGGATATTAGGAAGAATGTTTCCAGCTCTGAGGGGGGTTAAGCACTGGAACAGATTAGCTCTAGAGACTGTGGAACCTCCATCACTGGACACTTTTCAGGGCAGGTCAGACAAACACTTAGCTGG